TGTTAAAACGAGGGACATCAATTTTCAGTTTCTTCCTAAGTTGATATCGCTTGATGTTATCATTGTTCTTAATAATAGCTGACATAGCGTCTGGAGTCAGGTTATTGTGGATTTTATACATAAGCTTAGCTAAGCTAATTTTATACATAAAGGCTAAAGAAGACCAATTAGCCTTTTTCATAACATCTGCATTAGATATCTCCCAAGGTAGCTCAAAGATAATTCTCGCAGCTCTACAATGCAGTGCTTCTAATGCCTTAAAACCTTCCTTATTTGTGAGGCCTCCCCATACTGATATACCATATACAATCGACGGCATAATAACTCTAAAATACAAGTCTAATAACATATTCTTTGGAAGAAATTTGCTACGTTTTAACAAGTTTAACTTATCAACAAAGCCTTTTTTAACAACACTAACATGTTTAGACCAGTTTAGTTGATCATCTATCAATACGCCTAATAGACGAGAGTGTGTAACCCATTTGATGGTGTGCTGGGCCAACGTTAACTCTTTCAATGGGCCAGTGAATCTTCCACAATGGAGGATCATTGCTTCGCATTTCTTTGGATGAGGCACAAGGGAGTTTGTTTTGCACCAGTAAATTATTCTACTTAAGTTTTTAGCAGCATCCACTCGTGGCTTGAATACATCTGATGTTGTGCCAGATAAAGAAATGCGACTGTCCCACAGTGTTTGTCCAGTGCAAGACTTTTTGTTTCTGTTTAGACATCTGGAGTGGTATCGCCTTGTTAGTTTCTTTATCCTCGCAGCTTTTATATTCAGCTGCAAGGTTGGCGAGGAAGATTTCTTCGTGATCTATCTTGCTTTCACAGCGGTTACCAAATGTGGACTTCCACTTCTTATTGCCCACCAAATCACGAACAAAATCAGGCATGTCATTTGCATTGAAATGGACAAATTTGCCTGCTGTATCTTGAATGAGATCAATTGTCTTAGCTCTCATGATCTGCGAGGTCTTCTTCCTCTCCTAAGGATGCTAGCGTTTGCAAAATTAATGGTTTTTATTCAAAGTTGTCAACAAAATTTGGGTCCTTCGCATTGTTTTGGAAGGTGCATTTCATTTCTCTAGTTTAAGCCAACAAAACCTTCTGGGTTCAGTGGAAGTCTTTCGGAGGCCCACCTGGCTGTGTTTCCTTCATCCCCCTCAATATTCCTTGTTTTCTTCTCCCTGCTGCAGTGAATTGTACCAAGCTTCTTTTTAGTGGTCGTCTTGTAACTGTTCAGGTGTCTGCTGGCAAATGAGTATATTGCTGATGCAATTCAAGGGATTGTATTGCAAGTTTCACTTCTTTCTCTAAGTTTGTTTTATCTTTGCACTAATTTTCGTAGACCCTGAATTAATTTTAATCGTTACTCATTATCAAAATTATGTCATTGAACACTATTCTCAAGACTGCCAATGTCTTTGCAAGCAATAAGATCAATGTGGCGTCATAACTGCAGTTGAATCAGTGGAGGGTGAATCTTTTGAGCGGTCATGTTCAATTTGCTCTGTTTCTCAGCAAACGCCGTTTTCATCACAGGCAAACCATTCCTGTCTGCCTCATCCACTGTGGCTTTTTAAAGGAGACTTGCATAGAATGATATTGGCTGAGTGTTGCGTTCCCCCAGTGCTAACACTACATACTAGTGTCGCCCTGTTGGTGATGTCAAAGGGACCATAATTCTTGCCTGAAATTGGTGTTTCTTTATTGTAGCAGCTTGGTGTTTGCATAGCTTATTGCACATGCTTATTAGACATAACAACAAAGCATGAGATGTTTCCTCAAAGGCAGTGCCCATTCTGATTTTCTGTACCAAAGTCCTTCAAAGTATTTGACAAGATATGGATATTTGGATGCTATGTTACAGGCAACAAAATTCTGATAAGCATCATGAAGCATCTTTTTCATAAGCCCAGTAATTACTGTCCTGTCATTTGTGGCAATTGTATTTTTGGCATCTGACAGGTTATCTGTGACGGATCCAGGGTTTTGAAATTTCAAGTCCTCGGAAACGCGCCTCCCGCCATTTTGAGGCAGAGTCAGAGTGTTTTAATATGTCATTTTTTAAGGTGAAAATGACATTCTTTTTGCATCAAAATATGACTAAAAACTGCGTAACAAAGATGCAAATTTGCATTTATAAAACTATGATAAAAATACACTGCATTTGTGTTTCGTCAAAGACGGGATCAACAAGAAGCATCTTTGAGGAGTATCTTTCGCCAAAAAGCTGAACCACTGCATCGTAGTTAGCGGGCTTTTTGTAATAAATGTCCATCATAGCCGAGTCTGACAGTGTTTCCGTTCTCATGGTGGTGTGTAAATATCCTTTGACAAGCGTCAAAGTACTGTTTGGTTGCTTGTTGTCAGCTTAAGTGACTGGTGTATAGTGCAAGCAATTTGCAGCAAATGGTTAATGTTAGGGGAAATGTCCGGATCACAGGCCTGGTGGAGAAAAGAGGAAAAGATTATTGTTATCAGTTCAATAAACAATACAATTTTTGCTTTTTTATCGTAGCAGCTTGGTTTTAAACCTGACCCTGTAAAGGAGAAAAGGGTACTTACTTTTTTTTTCCTTACGAGAAATTTAGGTCCTGTTTTGGACAGCTTCATGCACTTATACTCTTGTCAAGAAAAGACCTTCCCTGTCTATATGTAAGCTGGTTGGTCGAGTGGTATGAACTTTGCCGTGATTTTGTGTACAGTTGCTCTTTCTCTTGAATGGTATAATTATACAGACATCCTATATCCGGTATTTCAAAGTCTCCAAATGCAGCAACTTATGGCCAGTTTTTATTTTTTTCCATACTTTAATTTTGTATGTGAACCAGAAGCATATGAGTCTGATGTAAACTTCTTTGTAAACTTAAGAAATTCTTTAATAAAAAATTAACAAAAAAATGCAACTGGTTCGCATGCCTAGATGAACCATTTGTCTCACAAGGGTGGTAAATGGGTTTTCTGTGAAGTGTGATGGGTCCCAAATTATCAGCGTGATGTGTGATTGGGTTCAAAGTAGCCTTGAGAAGTGTGATTAGGCACGGCAGAGTGGTGTGTGCTTTACTATTTTATAATTCATGATGCATGATTTTCCTTTTGGAAAACAGATAGTCATGGTATCATTTTCAGGTCCTTCTTCTTGTTCCTCCAGTTGGTGTTGGGCAATATGGGTTCTGCGCCCAGCCATCTCAAGTTAAGGTCATGAGGATTGTAGATGCTATTTCCGGATTAATGACAAAGTTATTGACGGAGATTGGCAATTCTTAACTCACCTCGTGCCTTCCTCAGTGGCTCGTAATTGTCGAAGAATGCCTGAAATTCCTCATGATACTCTTTCTCTGCATCGGCCTGGGTTTTAAGGTTCCTGAGGGGAGCTTCCAACCTAAAATTAAACGCTGGCGGGATGTTTCGAAGGAATTGCACCCTCTCCTCAGGGGTTCGTAATCCTTTAAAGGGAAAAGGAATGTTATTACTTACACTGATGAAGAACAGTTTTTGCTCAAATATTGCAATAAGAAAAGGCACATGCACTTCTTGCTGGTAAGTGATTCATTTCGTGATGACATCAAGGGCACATCTGCATTTGTGTATGCATGAGCTAAATTTAATGGGCATCCAAATAAATGTTCAACGGATTACATTTCCAACCTTATTGCAATCTGCAATTTGAAATGGTATTGTTCCAACCAACAGGACATCTGTGTGGAAATTTGGGGTCATAACACCATTAAAGAAACCCTGACAAAAAATTCATATCGTTTTTGACTAATGCTGTTCTAACCAGATGTATAGTGTGTTGTCCCTAGAAAGCTATGCTCTCAACATGGAATACATAGTTAATCACAGTCCCTATCTTTCTCTTATTCTCGTATGCAACTTCAATCAATACCTACCAGGAGTTAGTAGACCAGCACTGTCCGAGTACTGCTCTATGATCTTTTTAACGTAGATGTGCACTACGCCCTTTCATCATCTGCAAACTGTATTGCAAAGAACTGGTGTAGGCAAATCCATAAGCAAGTGGCATCGTTACTTGCAATCACCTGATTCACGTTCTGGCTTTGAGATTTGAACGATTACAGTTGCCGAATGTAAGTGTTTCACAACTGTCTTAGTCCAGGTATCTCTAGGGCTAAAGTCGGAGAAAGATGCAGGTGTACTTACAGATCTGTAGGATTTGTGCGACAGATCCCGCACATCGAATCCCGCATCAAGGACACTATTTTGGATCATTGTTCGTGTTTGTACATTATTGAGCTGTTCTGGCTGAATATGAAAAGGTTAAAAAAAGCACATCATTATGCACCAAACAAAAAGATATTATGAATAACCCTACCATCTTCCCCTCCCCCCTTCCAAAAATGGGCACCTTCGCCCCGACAGCTCTATTAGGAAGATGTGATACAATCGCGCAATTTTGTACACATGGTTAACATGTAATATTAGTGTCATAGTATAGGAGGGATAAATGTCACGTTCTTTTCTCCCAAACAAGTACACTGATATGTAAATGTATGATCTCACCTTGAGAGTGTGGGTAGACTTGTCCGTCTGGCAAAACAGAGGCCAGTCTGCCACACCTCCTCGCAGTTGAAAATTTTGCCTTTCCCAGGCCTCACGGGGAGTCTTCAGAAATACCCCACGCCGAGCGAGGTGCAAGAAGCCCAAGGCAACGGGGCAGTATGGACTTCCATCTTCTAGGGCTGTGTATGTAAAGACTCGACTATGCATAAATAGAAATATGGTTTGAAAATCAAGTTGTCTTTAAACAATGGGAAGAATGTAATAGCAAACGACACTACCGAAAATAGGCCCAGTGGCTACTAACAGAGCAAAAGCAGAATTATTGTCTAGGATGTAGGAGTGCTTAAGTGTGCGAGACAATTTGTTCCTCCATGGACCCTGCAAACAATGTACTGTTGTAGCATTGTAATCCAAGCTTAGATCTATTTTATCAAAGGGTAATACCTAGTTTCAGAATTATATATATTTTTTGCACAACTTATTAATATTGACTTGAATCCACTGATAAACATATACATATTTCATGCAATGTTACCCTGCTTTAGCTGATAAAACTTTTGTCTAAATCCAGCCTCTCTCTCTTTCTCTCTCTCTCACGTACATTATCCAAAGGTCCCTTTTGATTGACTCATCTTAGGAGGTGCATATATTATGGAGACCGTTCGCATTAATAACTGTAAGTAAACTTTGATATTGTCCAAAGGATCATAATTAATCCTTACTTGTGGGACATGTTGGTTGCGTCAGGTTTCTCATGGCGAAAAACAACCTCCATGGTAACACCATGACCCTCTGGTGGTTGTGACGTCGAGGTCGATGTTGATGTGCTTCTACCCCTAAAAATGGAAATTCCTTTATGGCTATGCATGGAAACTCAACTCAGTATTATTAGAGACTTTTTTGAGGTCTCCTGGGATGAACAGACAAAACGTTGGAGTTCTTACGTTTGAGTGCATTTTATTCTGATTCGTTGCTTCATTGCAGTGGAAACTTGTAAGTGACTAAAACAGCCGGAAATTGGTATGTGCATCCTCATCTCAAGTAGAATCCCAGTTTGAATAAGTGCTGAGTCTCAAGGTCCAAAAACGTGATATGCTCCAAAAGCAGAAAGTAGCCAATTTTGTTAGTTTTTGACAGATTAGTAACAATTTAACAAGGGTACCTGAACATGACATCTCCAACTTTGATGCCCTGGGAAAGGGGAAACTCCCCCAAACCCATGTCGTCCCTGAGATATCTATATTCAGGGGTAGAATACGTCTGCACGATAGTGCCAGCTCTGGCCCCACAGTGGGCAGACAAACTGTGAAAGAACAATACTGGAAAACAAAAGAGGGCATAAGTTATGTAATGCTTCCTACCTGTCTCTATTTGTAGTCTTCCATACTCATTACCAGAAATTTTTGAACTTACATATCTGTAGAATTTATGTTTACGTCTGCATGTCCTTTTAAGGAACATGTATTGCATGCCATGTCAAATCTCAGTGCTGAGTTTTGAATCCTTTCTCTCTAGGTCATAATAAGTGTGGGATATTTCAACAAGGAAGTTCGACCATCACATGATAATCGTGTCAGGTGAATATACATCAATTGTACAATACATAATTTAACACTTTTGCTTTCTTCATGAACACACGCCAATAAGAAAAATATTTATTTCCAAAAAGGTAGTGTCATATAATGTATCACAGTATTGCCATTTCCTTTACTTACGTTGCAATGCTGCTGGACTTTCGATGCCAATGGTATCAAGAATGTGCTCAAAGTCTTGAGCAAACATTGGCTTTTTGGGGTGGGAATCCATTTCCCCCACTTCCTTTCTCAAGAACCGGCCAAGTGTTTTCCTCAACTGAGGGAACTGCTTAGCTGGGCTTTTGTGCCTATTGGAAATTTGCTGGAAATGAAGGAAACCGGCAAATCAGTAAGAGTTGGATTGGGCTTAAAATGTGAAGCACGTTGTCCCACAACATGGCCTGTTACTGTTGTATGTTTCCAGACGATGCAGTCCACTGGCCATCTTAAGATTATTCATTGATGAATGGTGCGATTATTACAAGTGCAATGCAATCATTATAGCCGAGTTAGGTAATTTGGCAATGAATATATTCATTTAGAATAAAGTATTAAGACATACTTGTCTAATCTATAACATAGAAAAAACAACTTATTTTATCGCTGCACTAAAAAGGTAGACGAACTACTTCCAAAAATTAAAAAAAGGTTGTATTTTATGCAAGACATTTTGACCTGTTACAAAAGTAAAGTAGTTTCAGGCGACCAAATAGTGCATTGCATGATAATTTTGTTTTTACTAATGGGTATTTCTATTTTAATTAATAGGTCTTTTGCAGTCCACTTACCCACATACAAAGACCACGGGAGAAGTTTTCTATTATCCTTTTGTAGGCGAAGCCGGCCTTCGAGCAGGCCACACAAAAGGCTTTTATATCGAGCTCTTGCAAGGGAAAGGTCACAGCCGCCCCCGCCTTCACCTCTTTGTGCCAGGAAAGGAACAAGTTCCTGGTATTAAATATGGACTCTGTAGGAATAAAAACCGGCTGGTGAGAGACTGATGGAGGCGGTGATGTTGTAGCACAGACACTCGACGTATAGCATAACAAAACAATAGCTCTTACTGTTCCGGGCGCCAATGAGTCCACGTACATTTTTTTTGTTCTCTCCGGGTCGCCTGCCGCATCACTTAAGGTGGCGGTAAAGCATTGGATTAATGCGCTGTTCTCTGGCAGGTTTATGCAGGAAAATGTATCCCCTTCCAGGGCGACCCCTGTGGAGTGAAACAATATTTTACAATTGTTGTTTAATTGACTCTCGCGGGAAAATTTTCTACAAATCACTCCCATCATTAAATGTACTGGAAAGCGGAATTTAATATAGTCCGTGAAGTTTGTTGTCGTTCTGCCTGTATTAAAAGTGTAAGAAATTAAGCCGTACCTGTGCCTTGACTGGCCATTTTCCTTAGGGCGAGTGAAAATTTTCTTTCTAGGCCTCCAAATTTATAACACTCCACAAACATTTTCTCACCGTTTTTGCCTGGTGGAATCCACGCAGGGTTACTTTTCCGCCATTTTCATTTGAGGAGATGGCACCCATCGCTAAAGCGCAGGAATAAGTAACACCTGTGTTATAACTCACGCCTTTTAAATCGCCCACTCTTTACACGAAAGCTTCGATTTTATTTTTAGAAGAAACAAACGTTCAATATAGTAATAGTATAGTCATTCCTCCTGGTGGCCAGTAAACCAGAGTGAACTACTGTAGATCCTAGTGCAGTCCTGCCTGAAGGAAAAGTGAACTTGACCGGAAAGTAGACATCATGCAACCCCAAGACATTTATTTCAAGTAATTTTCACGAAAGCAGCACCTCTTAACACCTTTTATAGGGGTGATATATTCTCGACAAAAGTTGGGTCTTCTTGGCAGTCACGGGAGTGTTCACAAAACGAAAGCAGAACTGCAATTTACAACCAGAATTTCCGGTTTTCTCATGCAAGTGTGTCTGGGAAGGAAGATCAAGCCACGGGAAACACACATCATGATCATAGCGTTCATCAACGTGTATGGTGCGAATGGTTACTTTTTCATGTTTGTGGATGCTGTACTTGGAAAAACAACTCTTCTAGAGGCGAACTTTGGAATTTTCAAATATCAGCAGGTATTTATCAATGTTTGAATGTGTCACTTGGTTAAATTCGTGGTCATTTTCTGCGAACAGGCACAGCTCGTGGGTCCAGGTCTGTGAACCCCACGCGTTTAAGAAAATACAGTACAAGGGAATTCGTGTTTTCATTGTGATACACTGTTTAAGAAACATGTATGGTGAAGCAGCGCGTTCAGGTTTGTGTATAGCCTAGGAAAGAATTTCTTACATACGTTGGCTTTAAACCAGCTGTTTTAACTTAAGGACATTCGCGCGAAAATCTTCTAACATTGATTTTTTTCTGAAAATTTTACCATAGAAAGATGATAAGTTAGTGATGTCAGAAATGTAAAAAAAGGGGGGTCACCGAATTCGTTTTGGGAGATCATGCCCAGAAGAACACCTAAATCTGAGTAAATCAGTCTTCTTTAGCGAAGAAGGTCACAGTGGCTGTAAGTCCAAAAATATTCCAATTAGATCTTTGTAGGAAAATGTTCTCTGCCAAATATGGTTTAAATGGACCTATTAAGCGAATTTAGTCAACTGGTGAGGTTCCTCAAATAACGAGTTTGCATTCAGCGACCACAATTTCACGCACCTTGCAGCTGCATGATGGCAGGATTCGATGTCTCGCTGACAGAAATCGTGAATTTTTTTTACCTTCACACATTGATTTTTTGTTCATTTTTGGACAATGTAGAGATAATTGTAAATAAAATGTGTTTCTGGAAAGAAAAGTAGGGGTCACCAACGATTTATGAGCGTAAATTGTGATTGAATTGTCGTCGAATTCCAAAGTCACGCTGTTGTGCGACATGACGGAGCAGGACTGGAATCTACTTCTGGCCGTGATGTAGTAGTCAAGAGCGTTAATTTTGATTTGGTTTAGTGAGAACGGCGCGAAGGAAAACAAGAGGGATTCGATTTTGTGCTGATTATTTTTTACACTTGGCAACGCTCAACTGAGTGTACTTTGCAGCTTTTTACCATTTGTGGAATTACCCGGCTCAGTCTTTGAGGAACAAAGGAGACTTTCGTGTTATCATCATTTCATCGATTCAGTTCAAGGTGGAATCAAGAAGGGAAGAAATTTTCCTCTTGGGAAACAAGGAACGGTGCTATGATTTCTTGTACTTTCAGTAAGTGAAACAGGGAATCTTCCAAAGGTGTGGGCCAATTTTACTCAACGACTAATTAATTTTAAGTTTTCTTGTAGTACCTCAATTCTCTTTTTTTATTGAGGCTCTCATTAATCTTGTACTGTACAGTCTGAGACATTTCAAATACTAAATAATAACCAATGTTCATTTCTATGAATTTGGAATGAAAGATTCAAACCTTTCGCTGCAAAATACAATAATTCAACCATTACTTCTATACTCTAACACATATTAAAATGCCCTATCAATTAAGCACCTCCCTTCACATGTTTTCTAAGTAGCTGAAAAGTGCAGCTATTATTCTTGTGGTTGTTGTTACCCTGGGTTTCCCATTGACTTTTTCGGTCAAAACACTTCTGAGCCCTTCCTTCCCACCTCGTAGAATTGAAAGCTTTAGATGGCTCAACGTGAGCCCAGAACCTGCAATTTTGTCCCCCATGCCCTTAGAAATAACTTTGGAAACAATAAGGGGCTGTAGGCTATGTATGTTGACAGCCTTGTTTAAACAGTACTTTGTACTGTTGATGGCATAACAAAAAAAAAAGTGAAGCTGGATTTGATAATAGCCTTCTCATTTACTTCCTTGCAGGAAAGAAGTCGCTGAAGAGCCCTGACATCTTCCAGGGAGTCATGAGCACTATACGAAATACCCAACAGATCTGACACAAGATTTTCCTGCGAGTATTTCTGTGGCATAACTGATTTAAATAATATTAACGTATCAACAAACCCCACAACACAACTTTGAAAGGAATTTAAAAGATCACATTTCTGGAGAGAAAATATTACACGCTTGCAATCAAATGATTTTCCATTGTGAGCAAACAGCACTACTGGCATCTCTTTTGCCTTTAACCACTCCACGAAACTCTTGAGGCCTTCTTTCGCACTTTTGGAATCCACTGGCTCTCCTCTTAGGCACAGTCTTTCTCTTACCACTGCAAGGTTGGTGACTTGTGATGCTCCAGGTGTGATATCTTCTCTGGCGTTATGTAGGTGTTGAATTCAGCTTGTCCATGTGCAGCTGAGAGTTGTATAATGTCAGCTTTGGTAGCTGAAATAAGGAAAAGTCATTAATTCATGTAGGCTGGAGGATTTCTTAAAAAATATCCAGTATGAAGGTTATCTATTCATGTCAAAAACTGAATGTATGTTAAATGTCAGTGATTATCTGCTGATAACCCTTGAGTGCTGGAATGTCAGTAGCAGCGTGGCTAGTACGAGAAAAAGTCGATGTGCAAGGCAGTGCACATTTACACCTTTCACGCCTGTCATAACTGCAGCTCCATCACTCCCTGATCCGAACACTTTGCTCAGTACAGGATGTGGAAGTCGTTTTTCTACCAGAACAGCTTTCAGGGTATCCAGTATTGTTGCAGCCTTTCCATCTGACAGATTTTTAAGAAAGCGAGTTTAGGAAGAGTAACTGAAATGTCTGTACTTTCATCAACAAGTACACTTAAAAACCTACTTTGCTGAATCTCTTTCTCTATTTCGTTTGTAATGACTTTAGCACATGCTTCCTGGAACTCTTCTGCTGCTTGGTCTGATATGTAGTTAGCATTTTCGCCACAGCTAAGTTTGTCAACGTGTGGGCAACGTGTCTGACATAGCAGATTCATCAATGAACTGAATTTTCGTGTAGCCACATTTTCTTTCGCAAGCCAATACGCTACTTTTTGAGCTGTTGTTATCCCTTTTTCCTGTCGACTGAGGGCTTTTTCCATGGCCTTTTTTAGATCAGTTTGCATCATGGCAGCCATCAACACGTTTTTGTGGTCACACGTTTCTGCACGTCTAGATAACGCGGATGTTCGGTAGTTCTTGCATCCCACAGTGAAAGGGTTTTTTTACCACAGCGCATTCAAAGTTCACACAACATACCCTTGTCATTGTCATGCTTCAACCAGCTGAAATCGTTCAACCAACGTGAATGGAATTTTTGTCCATGCGAACTTGTTTTTGCTTCGGTTTGTTTCCTCAGGTCCACCACACCATTTACGTTTTCCACTTCACCGTCAACAAGATCTTTCTTTCTTTTCTTTTCGCCACCATCCCCTTTGTCGTTACTTTCTGTCTGTGTTGCTGCGAAAAAACTTACGATAGACCAAGACGCGATTAACCTTTTCCAGACGCCATGCTCCTACGATATTAAAAAAAAAAAAAAAAGTAGAGGCTCAATGGTCTCCAGCCCACTCACGGTAAATCTGGTAAACATGGCGTAGATTCATCGATTGATTTTCATGTTGTGGTACAGAATTGTTGTTCTTTAGATTAAAAAGTCTGTTTAATTGGAAAATTATTGTAGTTCGAGTAACAGAAGCATTGTTAAGCCTAGGGAATTAAAGAAGGAAAGGGCCATAATGGCCCTTAAACGCTTTTCTTGGGGGCCATCTCTCGATCTCTTGCGGGATTCACGCAATGGCGCGCTGTGGCTGGAACACTGCGTTACTAAACTTGGATACAAAATTACCAGCTTCTTGTAAACTCTTATGTCAGAGGTTTCATCTAAGAGTACCCCAACGAAAGGGCTTTCTCTGAGAATTCTTATAGTTTTTCCCTCGATACAAGCAGAAATGATTTCTACCATTTCAGTAACATGGCTGTGGTGCTGATGTGTAATATTCTTGAAATCATTACATCCATTTTTTATCGGCAAATTCACGAGAGCACCGAATTTGGCAAGAGGCATTTCTTCTTTAACAATAAAAAAACCCCGGTTTAAAGGATGCTTTAATGGCACCTCCTGTCTTTTCATTGTTTTTGTCTAGTAAACTGGCCTCTCGGCTGAGCATCTTGAAGGGCGACTTTGTGGTCATTGTTCATGGCATGCTTTGTGAGTATTGAATGTTGGAAGTTGATGAATCCACCACTGGATCTACTAATGGATTTTTTCTCTTTGCTTTCTCGCAAACAGTGCAGAACATTTTCTCCTTTTCCTCATCATAGTGTAACCACGGAAATTCTTTCTTCCATTCTTGACGAAATCTTCGTTTTGGTTCTTTGTTTGGTGGCCCTTCGTTCTCTGTGGATGCCAGTTTCAGACTTTCCAGCACATGGTCCTGGCATGTATACACTATTGTGAGGGATACACAAAGTCGCTGTGGCGGGCCGCTGACCTGGAAAGCTCAAATCCATGATGATGGTCATTGAGTAAACTTTGATCGTAATTTACCCTCTCCCTGTTTTGTTATCAATGGCGTTTTATGACCTGTAGAATGACGATAAATTTTGTTATGTCTTCTTCACCTCCATCTTCATCATTTTCTTTCCGCTTTCACCTTTATTTTGTACGTAAAGACATTTTTCCTATGGCATTGTCATCTAGGTATCTCGTTCAGCTCTGTTAAAGCTGTTGCCCATCTTTTTTTGAGATCACTTAACCTGACATGGTTAAGCTTTGGTCCCTGGGGTCTAGTATTTGGTTCATCATGCACATCAAAACATTCCACTTAGACAGGATCTAACACCACCAGACACCAAATAAGGTAATGTTTTTCATTCCTTAGTACCAATTATATAGCCTAACTATTAAAACAAGAAGTCCTCTTACAGGCCTTTTGTAAAAAAAGTCGGAAAATTGTGAACTTTAGCCTAATTCTCACTTTAAACTTTTTAATGCTTGCAGTTCAAAAACTACATTGAGCATATAAATATGTCACCCATGATTTTAGAGGTATTCTAAAACAGCAACCAAAAAAGCCGTTTAGAAAGCTGCTACGAAGACCGCCGAATATTAATGAACGAGTAAATCAATTATTATCTGGAGGCCAGATGAAAAATAATATAATCTATTAGTATATGAAATCTTTGAGGGATCCAAAATGTGTTGAACGATTTTGACCTAGAAACAGCACTGAATACCACTGTTGCCAATAATGCTAACCAGAAAAAAGATAGCTACAGGTTTGTTGTTGATAACAGTGGAGAGGTTACATCATTCGATTGGTATAATGCCTGAATCGGTCTTGATTTTAAAGTGAACGTGCTGTCTAATGGAGTTAATATTGCAGTAAAAGATCATAATGGTATTGTAAACGGGTCGTACTCATTCTTGAAACATTTTGATAGTAAGCTCAATGGCTAGAAAGTGTATGATTGTAATGATGCAAATCACATGGTGAATATTAAGAATTTACTTGAGGACAGCCCTTCTTATGCCGAAAAAACAGCAAGTAATGAGTTTTTCTTCCTTGATACATCCAGAAATCCGGAAGAGAGGGAATTTGAAGTTAGCGGTACAAATCAGTTAGCCAAAAGGCGATCAGCTTACAGTAACGGTTTTGCCCTTCAAAAAGCACGGCTGGGTACCTCATCCACAGTAAACACTGAAATACCACTGAACAGATATTCATTCTTTGAAATGTTAGAGGATGAGCTGTTGCCCAATACAAGGGTTGAAATGAATTTTGAAATTGAGTCAGATGGTAATCTAATTTGGCAAGCCGGAGCTGATTGCAGGGTGGTTATCACCAGGATGCAGTTGTACGTTCTGCGGATAACCTTTAACAGTGAGGGCCAATCATCCTATATGAGCCAATATCTTAAAAATCATAAGTGGACTTACTTGAGAGAGAATATCGAAAGATCAAATAGCAGCCGGCAGAGAGCTGGGCATTTCAGAATTTCAACTGGTATCTCAAAACCCCGGGACGTGTTTGTTAGGGTTTTGTACATTATGCTTTTGCTTCCCCACTAAAATGCTCCACCTTAATGCTCTATTTTTCACACTAAAATGCTCGGTCTCCCCGAAAAAGTCACTAAAATGCTCGGATAATGCTCATTATACAAACGGTTTTTTAAATTAATTTTAAAGTTTACACTCACAAAAACGTGCAAGTGTTGCAAGTAACAACGACAACGTGTACAAGTTCATAAATACAGCCAAAAGAAACAGCTGTATTAAGTTTTTTGTGAATTTTGAGTTTTAGTCTTTATTTTCTTTAAAAAAGGAGGAGCTCATGGGGCATGGGCTCCTGAAAAAAGTTAATTTCTATTTTATTTTCTCGGAAAAAATTAATTTTCCGGGGAAAATGCCACTAAAATGCTCGAATAATGCTCAATGCTTTTGCCTCACTAAAATGCTCGAAAAAATGCTAGCATAATGTACAAAAGCCTAGTGTTTGTATTCATAATCAATGATGCAAAATATCGATACCCAGACGGCTTATCCATTCTTGTATAATACATTCTCTGTCTCAACTGACCCAAGAACCTTATCCAATTGTTATCTGGAGATTGGAAATGGAAATAAATACCTCGATATACATTACACACCAACTACAGATATGACCCGTGTTTACAGGGATGTGTTGAAGTATGTCCATAAAAATGATGAATATGGTGAAGGATCATTACTCAATAAATCTAATTTTGGTACCCTGTTTCCATTCTTATATTTTGATTTAACAAAACAGGAAATGGACATTAAAGATGGCACCACGAAACAGACATTCAAATATGAGTTATCTGGAACAACAGCAACAGCTTATTCTATTTACGCACTGACTCTCTACGAACAAGATGTTGAGCTAATCCAGAAAGATGGCAAAATAATACTCAGATCGTAAATTATGTAACCATATATTATATAACTAATGACAAAATATTATCCTTATTGTGTGTCATTTACCAAAGGACAATTGGA